TATGTGCATGTGTATATGTGTGTACATGCGTGTACATTTCAAAAACAAGACACGAAATTTGGACTGGAAATCTGTCACAGAAACATGTAAAGCCCCCAAATGACTAAACTTTCACTTTCCAAAAAGCAACTGTTTAATGATTAATTCCCCTATTTACTAAAAGAAATAGGGACTGATCATTACTTTCTACCTATAAATGAATGTCTTGTCTTTAAGGCTTGTTATTCTGTGCAGAGCACATGTCAGTGTGTTCTTTCTTTTTTAAAAGAATAAAATTGTGAATTTCAAAAACATTTCAATATTTTACTAAATTTGGGGCCAGCCTTACAGTTGCTGAGGTCAACATTCCATATATTTTCAGTTGAAGATTGCTTGGAGAGTTGTGGATTCAGTCCCAGTGTTACCAGTGTCTGAACATGATACAAAGAATATTTTCCAGTCATAAATAAAAACCATCTAATTAAATCCATGACCTTTCTTAAACCGTAACATATTTGCAGGGCACTTAAATTTGTTATGAAAAAGCATCCATTATGAACCAGCCCCTGAAATGAATTCCCAAAGTATATTAGGAGATGAGTGACTACATGGTTGTGTGGTAATACCTAAATTTTATAAATGTTACAATTTGCTTTTTAAAACCCTGCTCAGCATGTTTGGAATAACTGTATGTCTGAAAATTATTTAAAGGTATATGACCCATCTACAATGCATAATTCCAAAGGGAACCACAGTTTCTTGTAGTATGGGAACCTAGAGAAGAAAAGGTTCCTTCCCCACCAAGCTTTGTCTCATTCATGATTGCTTTACAAGAGCAGCACTCCTCTTTCCGGGTAGTGAGGAGGTTTTTATGGAATAGTTGCTTCAAATGGCATGTTCTCCTTTCACACCATTCTGAACTATGATGATGAAAGCACTGTATGGTTAAAACTACTCATGTAGTAGTTTGAAGAATGACTTCTTTCTTTGTTTTTCTGATTCCTCTGTGGGCTTTTGACAAGCAGTTATGAGGAGGGCTTTAGAATATCGCTGTATGGCACAGATAGAAGATGCATTCTCCTCTTGGGGGCATCCCAGGAGAAAAAAGCAGAGGTGACATCTGACACACACCAGTTATTAACCTGCATCTCAGGAGAAGTACCAGAAGCGGATTGGTCAGCCATGCTGCCTTGAATAAAGATGAACCAGCTCGCTACGAAGCAATGCATTATTCTTCCCCCTCCATATCAGAGTTCCCAGCCCACTGAAGACAATTGCATTACTAGAGTTGTGATCAGCCCACAATGCTTCTACAAGGTCATCATCCTTCAGTGAATAGTGTTTGCTCCATAGGTCATAAATGTACATAGTGATTTAAAGACTATTTTAAAAAGATCAGGGAAGAAGCTGTGGGAAGAATACTGTCTTCAGAATTAAATGACAAATGTATCAGCTACTGTAACTGTAACTGTATCTGTTATTTTGTCAAAGTTATTTTCATTCTCAGTGCAGAAGTGAACATTTTTCATAGAAACTGAAATTCTGCTTTGTTTGAAAATTGATATCCTTCAGTGTGGGCCATATGCTTTATACTGTTTGAAAAAGTGACCGAAACTAAATTTTCTCCTACTCCATTCTTTAAAACGGAAAACAAGTAAATGAATTCTACAATTAATTTAGACGGCAGCAGCTATGGAACCTGATAACTCTGTTGGAAGTAAATTTAATTATGAAGGTTGTCTGAAAACAATTCCATCTGCCAAGAGCTCTCAAAGTTGTTTCAATTTTAATGCAGAGTGAAAAGAAAAGCTAGCAAGTATTTTTTTTTCAAAATAGAATTCTGTTAAAACAACTCTTTAAGTTTCAAGCACTTGGGCTGTGTAACCACTAGAAGTAATTAGAGGGCACTGCCACAGATTCATCATAATATTAAACTATGACAAAATAGCATAAAAACACACACTTCTAAGAAATATTTCAGCTATGGCAGACCTGAATATTTCAATATCTTTTCATTTTAGCAAAAGTAGCTCTTGTAATTGTGCAGAACAACTAACACAAATGCCACCCTTCCCTTAAAACTGTGCAGCCAACTTATTAGCAATATATGAGTCCTACTTTGTCACTTTTAATGGAAATTGGTTAAAAACAAATAGGAAATAAACGCAATGGAAAACAAAGTTGTTCTTTGAGATGACTGTTCTTCACGAGTCGGTTTAGAGCTCCTGTATTCAAAATGCATATTTACTTCAATGAAAGGTTAGTTTCAAAAGACAAGGTTTCTGCTCTTGTGCTCTTGAAACTGCACTGAAGCAGAAACCCTGATATTTGAGTCTGCCAACAGGAAGCAGTAAACTAATATTTTGTAAATAGCTCAAGCAGAATATATGTTTGCTACGGCCCAGACTGCTGGGTTAAACTAGCTACTTGGGAAAGGAAGGACATGATCAATAGGGCTAAGCATGATCTCACAGAGAAGTGCATAAATCTAATGTCATAATGAATGGTGGGAAGGGCCTAGGTCTCACTCTTCTCTTCCTCCCACATTGTCTCTCTTCCTATTTTACTAAAGCAAAAGCAGAGTTCATGCACCCACCCCGTGAAACGTCATGCAGATCTCATTCTCCTCTATGTGGAGAAACTCTAACCAAATCATAGTGCCTAGAAGGTTTTCTGTTGCTGCATAATCTTGTCTGATTGCTGTCATGTTGGTTAGACCTTTAAAATCAGAATATATCCTGTATCTAACATAAAGAGTTTTTTGTTAAAAATTTGCATAAAATACCCACTGAGCTGATTCCAAGTTTTTTTGTATGAATTAAGTTTCATACTCTGAGGCAGTTATATTTCTTATTCGTGAGAAATGTTTGACATATGCCAGTCCAGTGGGTTGGATTTCCTGACAGACTGGATTCTCTTCTAGCTTGCATCTTTTTGAAAATGATTTATATTTACGTTTGTAAGTTAGAATTCAGTATAAAATGACATTTCTTTTGTTTTCTTTTATCATTCACTTTGCAGAAATAGAAACAGCTACTCCCTATGCTAGAAAGAAGATATTAGGTTAAGTAAGTGTTACAACTGCTAGAAATAGAATATATGACCTAATGCAATTTTAAATATTTCTTCTCTTTTAAAGACAATTCACCAAGAACCCAGCCCAACTCAACAGCTACTGAAGTCAACAGAAATCTGCATTATTTGTACTTACTATTGGATCAGGTAAGGAATGTGAACACTGACAATGTGTTCTAGACACAGACAAT